TTCTCTCTTTTCCTCCGTCTCACACTTTTCTCTCTCTCTCTTCATTCCTTCCAACCTTCTCTCTCTTCTTGCTTCCTCCGTTCTCTTGTCTTTCCTTCCTTCCCCTTATCTCTCTTCTCCTCCCTACCTTCTTTCTCTCCCTCTTTTCCTGCCTTCTCCGTTTCTTTTCCTTCCTTCCTTCCTCTTTTCTTGCCTCCCTCCCTCCTCCTCCTCCTATTTCGAAAGGGGGGGCCTGTTTGGAGGTGGCAGGCGCGCTCTGGCGGGCGGGGGGGCGCGCGCTCCCGGCGCCGGCTGTGTGGGCTCCCGGGGGGGCGGGGGCTGCCGGAGGGCATGGCCGCCGCCGCCGGCGCCGGGGATTATCCACCGCGCGGGGAGCAAGCAGGCAGATGCCACTCGAGCGCCGCGACGGCAGGCTGGTAGCTGGCTCGCTCCTCGCGCGGTCCTTCTCTCTCCGCCTTGCTCCGGAGCGCATCCCTGCCCGTCCGCCCGGCTCGGCCAAACTTGGCTTCGGGACGCCGCCTCGCCGAGCCGTGATCGCCGCCTGCTCGCCCGCCCGCCCGCTTCCTCGCCCGGCGTTTGCTATGCCTGCCATCCTGCTCTTCTGGAGCCGCGTGGAGAGGTAGGCGAGTAACTTTGCCCCGCCGCGGAAGGAACTTCTCTCCCGACTCCGGGTCTCCGATTGGGCCGCCGGGGGGGGCGCGCGCGCGGGGAGAGGAGAGACCCCTCCAGGGGTCTGGGCGGAAGAGCGCGCGGTCTCGGCCAGGGAGGACCGTCGGCGGGTGTCGGTTCGCTCGCCCGCTCGCTGGTTGTGGCCGGGTTGGCCTGGAAGGGGGCTGCGGGGAGCCCCCCTGCCCAGGATAGGGCGCAGCTGCCGGCCCTCCCTCAGCGGGCTGTCCCTTGGTGGAGGGGCGGCGGCGGCGGCTTACATCCTGCGGTCCCGGGACCCCCCCTCCCCGAGCCGTGGACGACCGTGCCAGGGAGGCTAGACAGAGGGCAGCCGGGTGCCCCTGCTCTGGATGGGGGCTGGAGGTCC